ATAAAAGCATGTATCAGAGCAATTAGTAAAATTCAAATATGTAGTGAAATATCCTAACATGAGAAATTTACAACTAACGATAAAGAATATAAACTTACTATCTACTACGATGGCGGCACTGAAAATTTCGGGAATCAAGGAAGTGACACAACATTACTATTTAAAAATGTATTTATTGCTTTTTGAAGTATTCTCCGCGAAATTTGACACATTTTCCCATACGATGGAACCTATTATTGAGGCAACCATTCCTTTCGGAAGTTGGGTTCTCCAAAATGGCCGTTTGTAGGCGTCCACAGCTTCTTCAGGTGATGAAAATCTCTGTCCACGCAATTTATTCTTTATTTTAGGGAAAGTATAGAAATCATTAGGGCTTAGGTCAGGGCTGTACGGCGGATGGTCTAATAATTCTATGTTTTCTTGCTCTAAAAACTCTTTTGTTCTGTGTGCGGTGTGAGAACTCGCATTGTCGTGATGGAGGATGATGCGGCGGTTGCAGTTCTCATTACGGAGTTCAGAAACGACCTGTAGCAAACAAATGCTAGCATACCATTCTACATTAACCGTACTTTGTCCCTCAAGAGGAATAGTCGTAACATGGCCGGTTTTGGAGACAAACGTGGCCACCATTTTTTTTGCAACACTCCGTGAACGAACAATTTTTGTTGGCTTTAACTAATTTTCGAACACCCAAACTCGTGACTGGTTTTTTTTTCGGGTTCGTACGCATATATCCAGGATTCGTCACCTAATACGATGTTGTATACAGCATTTGAGGATCCTGCGTGGAATCTTTCGAGATATCTGACGCACTAAGTAACGCGAGCCGCTTTTTGGTCTTCACAGAGCGAATGCGGTATCCATCGGGAAAACAACTTTTTTACACCTAATTGTTCATGCAAGATTATTTGTATTTGACTCATGCCAATGTCTAAAGTTGCCTGAATTTCGCGGTATATCATATGTCGATCTTCCTCAATCAGCTTACACACAGTATCAACGTTTTCTTGGGTAACTGCAGTTTTTGGACGACCTTGACGGGGATCATCACTGACCTTGACACGTCCACGTTGAAATTCAGCAAACCAGCGCTAAATTGTGGTTTTGGATGGGGCTTCGTCACCAAATGCAGAAATCATCCGGTCAACACACTGTTTTTGTGTTAAACCACTTCGAAAGTCATAATAAATCATCGCTCTTGAATTTTCTCGAGTCATTTCCATTTTCTCAACGACTAAACAAGTTTGACAAAACCTTGTGACAAGACCGAGAATCTTTTTTTAAATAAATAAATGGTATTCAATTTTTAAAACTAAGGATTTTTCAATTAAAAAGATTTTAATATGACAGGAACAGTGGAAATATTCCATTCCCGTACTTTTAGTGCAGCCCTCGTATATGGAGAATATAATCATGTGTAGTTTTTTTCATTATCATAATTATTAGTCATAAAGCACATTTTCCAATTTAGTAATTTTATTAGTAGACATAATATGAATAACTGGAGACATATCTTCTTTTCGAATAAATATCTTACCATTTGATATCAAACGATATTTATAGTTATGAATTTTCTGTAAATAACGTGTCATGAAGTTGAGTTTCTTTGCCTTAGCCGTTAGTAATTCATAAATATAAAATGACTCAGCCTTTTCGTGAGTAATGAATTGTAGTATCCAGCGTTTTATTTTCATTATGTTTATTATACATGTTCACAGCTCTGAGCACTTCATATCGTACATTTATAGCCTGGTAATCAACAATTACGGATTTTTGGTGGCTTTTGTTATGACGTGGCATTGTCGGATTTAGTCCGGTTGTACGGTAACACCCAGTGAACTGTGTATCTACTTTTGTAAACACTTCATCAGGTTTAATCATGAACTTACTAGGAAGATTAATTGTTTCTAGGGACCAGCTAAATTGTTTTCTTTGTATTTCTTCTAACTGCATCTCCAATCTATTAATTTTGTCGGCGCTTGTTAATGTTTCATAGCTAAGCCTTCAAATTTACCTTTAAGTTCATTCTATAAGTAAGTAGTCTTTTCGAGTTTCTTTTCAATTTGTGTGTTAGATTTTAATATCTCCGTATTATGTGTCTTTACTTCTTCCAACACAAGGGTCATTTGTTGATATTTTGTATCTTGTTCATTTTTCATTGCCGATATCAGAAATTATTACGGAATGTAGTGCGGAGAAGTCATCCTGATCATGTTGATGTTCGCGTTTTCTTATTATTTTATTATGCCAGTTTCCTTCTAATAGCTCTGGTTGTGATCCGAATTTCCTTTCTAACGATGAACGCAACATTTTAATGTCACTGCGTGTGTAACGAGGATAATCTTGAAATTTTGCCTATACTATGCTTCTACACACACACATGCTTCTTCACAAATCAAGTATCAACTAGAATACGCCCTTATACTTTTAAATATAAAACAGAATTTCATATAAGAGACTTTTAAAATAGATATATTAACACGACTGTTTACCACAACATGCGAATGGAGAATGAGTATAGTAGTTAGGTGCTGGCTTAGAATAGTCATAAAAAGTGTAATAAATACCTAGTCAGGTCATAAATTCTGTCACATGTTTAATATAAAATAACTGAAACAAGTTTATTCATTACGTAACCATTTATATACCAAAATGAACTTAACAAAACATAGATTCTTATGACACTAAAGTTTATTCAAAATGACCTCTGTGATTTTGAATACAGGCCTTCAATCTGCGCGGCCAGTCGTCTATCGCAGCACGAACGAGGTCCATGTCAATATCGGCGGCTGCCTTAATCAAGGATGTCTTGAGTGACTCCAAATTGGGATGAGGCTTTGAGCACGCCTTCTCCTCCAAGTGTTGCCATATCTTGTAATCTAACGGATTCAAATCTGGACTGGAGGAGGGCCAGTCTTCGTGCCGGATGAAGTCGATTTCACACGCCGCCAGCCAGTCTTGTGTGCTCTTCGCTCTATGAGCTGGCGCCGAATCTTGTTGGAATACCCAGTGCCTGTTATTGAACATGGTATGAGAAACAGGTACCACAAGGTTCGTCAGGACTGTATTTTGATACACAACTGCATTCGTTTTTACACCTTTCTCACAAAAATGTACCTCTGTTAAGCCCTAATAAGAAACTCCCAACCATACCATGAGCGAGGATGGAAAATGACCTTGTTGGACACGCGGAATACGGTTGCTCGCTTCTTCACTACTGTGTGCGTACACCTTATCATTTTGTTTGTTGTAGCTCTCTTCTACGGTAAAAATTTTTTCATCCGAAAAAAGAATTTCCCGATATTTTTTTCCCGCGTACCGCTTCAACAAAGCGCGGATTCTCTCCAGTCTCAGGTCCATTAGACGAGCATTCATACGATGTCCTGTTTTTCTTCGATATGCCCGAAGCCCTAAGTCTTCATTTAACACCCTTTTCACCGTGGTTCTGCTTAACCCCATCTGAAGGGCCAACAGTTTCTGCTTACGTTTGGGATTTCTTTGAATTTGCGCCTTCACAGCTTTTATCACTGCTGGAGTCCTAACAGACCGAGAGCGACCACTTCTTGACCTGTCATCTACACTAGAGTCTTCATTGTATCGTTTGATGGTACGATAAACGATTCTTTTGGTTATATTTAAATTTTTCAGTATGTCAAAAATTTGAAAAGGCGCGTAACCGCAACGATGCAACGCAATAACTGCAACACGGTCTTCTTTAAGCGTCCACTCCATATTTAAAAATGAGTTAAATTCTTAAAAGTATACAGTTTTATTTTCATGAACAATTCGAAATTCGAATTCAATAAACTTTTTTTATGGCCAGCATTCTAAAAGAAAAGTTTTTACTGTGTGACAATACTTATGACCTGACTAGGTATGATCGATATTAACTGAATATTTTATCGCAATGAAATCTGCTTTGAGCTAGTCTAGAAATTGAATTATTAATTGACCACAATTAAATAATTCAAAATGGGAATGCTGAAAGGGTACATTTGATAACTCTGATTGTATACCTTGGTATAGTCGTTAATAATTTTAATTGAATTGGATACTGTGGCGCATAGACACCTACATCTATCCTCGATTAATAATCAAAACGCAGATGCGTTGTTTACCCTGAAGACTAAGAAGGAAAGCATTGTCCAATTAAAAGGGTCTAGTAAAAATAATTCGATACTATGAAAACAATATCCAAACTTTAATTTTTAAGATTTATACGAGGTATGTGGATAAAGAAATGTCTGTTGTATATCAATTTTTACAAACATCATCACCATTCATCATCATTACAGCTTATCAAAATCCACCTGTAGACCTCCCCTATAGATTGCCCCATAAGGGGTTTATTTTCCATAGTTGCCATGCTTGACAAGCGGGTTGATAAAAACTGTGATAACCGACCCGACTGCCTAGCGTAGTAACTATTCTAAATATCTCTCTTACGAGGAAACCTATCTGGAAGATTTATGTTCAGCCGTAGACTTTGATAGAATGTATGGGATAAGTGAGAGAATGAAAAAATAAAGAAAAATGGAAACGAAGTTTGGAAGCGGTTTTCAATCTATGCTTATGAGAGATTGTATGGTGTACAACCGAAATTAAACTTCGCGTGGAGTAAACAATACTGAATGTGGAGTTCCCTGACTATGTCTTATTCTTCTTTTAGCTACATAATTTTGACTTGCATAAATCAGGCAGTGTGTGTGCACTTTTTACTGGAAATGAGGCATTCCATCTTAGTCCTCAAGGGTGACAACGCATTTGCATTTTGATTTGTAATAGAGGATAGATGTAGATGTCTATAGGCTGCAGCAACCACTTACCACCAGGTGGACTGTGTGCTCGTTTGTCATTCTTATCCTATAAAAAAATGAAGTGAAATTCGTTCCAAAATCTTCAATCGCGTAAATTTTAAGTTATTAGCAATAAGTACGCGCAACGCAATAGAAAAATGATCAACAGTAATGTAGTCTAATTTATCGCATTTTACATTCCAGGGATATAAAAGCTGGTAACATTCTGCTCGGCGAGGATGGCACAGTCCAGATAGCAGATTTTGGCGTATCGGCTTGGCTGGCGACCGGTCGGGATTTGTCCAGACAAAAAGTCAGGCACACGTTCGTCGGCACGCCTTGTTGGATGGCTCCAGAAGTTATGGAACAAGTAATTCACCATAATATACTTCCAGTGTTCAATTACAAAATGTGGTTTTCTGATAGCCTCGGGCTTAGAAAAAAGTTTGTAGGATATCAGGAATCCCCTTGGTTGTGATACCGCATTTCCTCTGGGCTTCCTTATTGAAACAAATAAACTCGTATTTAACATTTAATTTGCCATATTTTTAACGGGTTTTCTTTTATTTTTTATTGTAATCTGAGGATGATTATAAACTACTTTTATACGAAGACTATCATCAGTCTTATTATAAAACTTGGTTTATTGTGTTTCCGGTTTATAAGAATCTTTGTCACGAAAAACGTCCCTTACCCTTAGCCGTAGCGCCAGGGTCATTAAACACCTATCAGACATCATACCATGCATTATGTTATTTCTATCAATATAATTTTCGTAAGACAATGTATTGGGCATTGGCGGTGATGGTGATGGTGGTGGTATTAGTTGGTTTCTTTTCTCATGTATGACTTCTACTTTGTACCAGAGACTATACTTTTTGTAACATTATGTTTTACGTAAATACTATCAATCTAAGTGCATATTTTTATTCGTTGTACATAGACGTTACCGCCAACTAGTTTTACGCTATTTTATTTAGAAAGATTTGAACATACTCGTTGTGCTCGGCAGGCAGCTTAATGAGCGCAAGCAGATGCCCTCACATTATTCTGCTCTCCATCACCATCTGTGGGATTTTGGGTTTAGAATGTTTGAATGGGTATACATTTAACTAATATTAGTACTACGTACTAGAACAGAGATACCGCGAACAAAATCTGTGCTGGCGGTGGGGGCAGGGACAAGAAGGTACGGAAGGAAGAAGTACACTGTATAACAGTATTTTTTTCATTCACTTTCATATACTCTCTATTTGAATTCACCTTTATCACAACCCAATTTTATGCTTTATTTCTTAATCAAATTAATTTTTCAGAATAACCTAGCAGTTACAATATTAGTATCTGATTATTATTTATTCGCACAGGACCATGGTTACGATTTCAAAGCCGACATCTGGTCCTTTGGAATAACTGCAATTGAAATGGCAACTGGTACAGCGCCATATCACAAGTATCCGCCGATGAAAGTGCTTATGCTGACGTTGCAGAATGATCCGCCGAATTTAGATACAGGTATCCTATATTAATTTATCTTTATATATAAAAATTACGTGTCACATTGTTTGTCCGGAAAGAACTCCTAAACTATTGAACTGATTTCAGTGAAATTTTGTACACTGTGTGCAGTTTGGTCCAAATTGAGAGATAGGATACTTTTTATCCCGATAAGTGACCTTCAATATTTTTTTATTGCGAATTTAATAAATTTTTTTTCATAGGAAGGGCAGAACGTCTGCCTGGCCAGCTAGTTGTTATATAAATTTTCAAATTCTCATTATGTTGCTAATTCTGAACTACACACAATTTTTTTTTTATATGTGGTAGAGCCATGCTGCAGCTATATTAGTAGTATACTTGTAGCACGAATGGGACTGCTCGACCGGGGAAGGACCACGCTTTCACAGAATACCAGTGTAAAATAGCAGCTTAACACTGCTGTGTTTCATATGGAGAGTGTAGAGAACCGGAGACCCATTTTACTGGATACGAGGCATTTCACCTTAGTCCTCACGGCTGACAACGCATCTGCATTTTGATTCGTAAGCGAGGATAGATGTAGATGTCTATGGGCCACAGCAACCACTTACAATCAGGTGGACTGTGTGCTCGTTTGTCGCCCTATCATATAAAAAAAAGAAAACGACCCTGAGACACCTCTCTCGCCTTTTTTATAAATCCATATTTCTAAGCATACAAGCTCGTTGGTTAACGGTACTTTTAATTTGACCAATTTTCAATATATCCTCAATGAGGTCGATAGACTACCGTCTAGGGTGTCCTTTCTTACTGCCACTCACTTCTGCAGTATAAATTTGTTTTGTCACTCTTTCCTCCTTCATTCTTTCTATATGACAAATACACCAAAGCATTCCTTCCTTAATCCTATTCAAAACATTTTTTTTTGCAAATCACACCTTCCTCTTATCTTGCTAATAATATTGATAGGATAAGAAATTCCCATCCTATCATTTATAGTCTGGGGGCTACATACTTCTTAATAACCGTATTTCTATAGCATATATTCACTGCTCTAACTGACACAATATTTTTTTAATTTTAATTATTTTTAGAAATATATAACAAAGAACAATGGCAGAAAAATAGTTGACAAAAATTATTGCGTCTAGAAATAAGTCATATATAATATGAGTTCTATTATCTTTTTATGATTTTTCAAATAAAAATGTATTTTAATTAAAACCACAGAAAAAAAAACATTTTTGGGAATATCTAAATATATTTACTATGTTCATACTATTTTCGTATACACTTTGTAAGACTACCAACACAACACAAACACAAAATATTTTTATATTAAGTTATTATTAGTAATAACATATCAATCATAGTAATATGTAACAATTACATTTAATGTTATGGCAATACTAGCTAAAACAAAATGTCACTGTTTTTTTTTACTGGCTTTACAGCTCTGGGTTCTAGCCCTTCTGAGAATGTCACTGTAGAATGACACAAAGGCCCTGGAGCCATGCCAGAAATATACATTTATAGTAGCAAATATATAATAGAGATACAATAATCTAAAACCTCTCAATTATGTAGGTAGGTACATTACGTTGAGAATGTATTAAGCTAACATCAAACAACCACAGGACGCATGATTTTTCCAAGTGACAGAAGACAACCTAAAAAGGTTCAAATCTAAATATCTTTTTTTAGACGCCATCTCAGGACAAATTCTTTGACAGAGTTATTAAGGGACTGACGCTTAACATTTTAAGATATTTTTGATATATAGACACTACCATTCCTTCTCAACTAATTTTATGTATGAAAGTCTGTCATTGTTCTTTTAATCACAACAAAAATTAACAATTTAAACATCATATAATTTATTATATGATGTTTAAATTGTTAATTTTTGTATAATTTATTATTTAGTAGTTTCAGTTCTTGTAATTGTTTTATATATGTACATACAGTAGCGGTCACATAATTAAATACACTTTTCTGTGTGTCCACAACCACATACAACAGTAACAGATCTGTAAGAGTAGTAAGTACGCAAAATAGATATAAATTAAAAAATTATATTTCATAACTATTAATCTTTACATGGAGAGATCGTATTATTAAAATGAAAACATCAAAAACGTGTATTTAGCAATAGTTGAGATTTTATTCCTCTTTTAAACAAAACAAAAACTTTTTCGACAAGTTAACCGCTGACCAGCTAATTAAAGATAATGTTAAAACAGTTATGTTATTTTTCGTTTGGCCATAAAGGAGAATGGCATAATTGTTGCATAAAATCATAATAGTTTACGATTTAATGATAGGAATGATGTTCATCGTCAATATTTTTTTTGTTCATATGGCAACTATTTATTGACAGTTAAAGATTATCTATCTTTCATTTCACTTCAGTTTTCAGTTTTTTGCTGTTGTTTTGGATTGTAGTTTGTGACTGCATTTGAGCAATTTAGCGAATTATCTGGCAGTTCTTACGATGAGTTGAGCATCTGCTCCTCCGTTCTCAATCTCTTGATAGTAGTTTCGCGAAAGGACACGGACCATATAGTGCCACTACAAATGATTGGACCATAATGAATGACTTATTAAATGAAACAGAATTCTATGAATTTTATAAAGATAATGATGTTTTTATTCTCGATAGAGGTTTTCGTGACTGCATGGATAGTCTGCATGAGAAAGGATACGTAGGTCATATGCCTAAAACTAAAGAAAACGGCCAATCACAGCTATCCACTATGGGAGCCAACAGATCACGCTGTGTAACTATAAACAAGTGGGTAGTAGAAGCTGTGAATGGCCGTTTTAAGAGAGACTTCAAATTGTTCAGCCATGAATATTTTAACCGTGGTTGTCTCAAACTTATAGCAGCTAATCAAACTGCTGCAGATCGCTGCTGGATATAGGTATCTCCTAATGCACCCTGCTGAATAGGTACGATCTTCATCTCAATCTACCTACGTGATGGTAAGTAAAACACTACAAAGATAGCGACAAGCAATCTAGAACATTTACCTTATCACCAAAACAATGTTTATGTGCATATATGCAACAATCTACTTTGTGGTACACTAGTACATAACCTTAAAAAATGAAACTGGTTATACCTTTCACGTCCCAAGTTTTAAAAATCTAAGAATTTAAATAGGGCTTGTCTATCCTACTAACTGCCAATTAAAACAAAAAATATCCCAAAACACGAAATTTTTTTAGCTGTATGAAATTCCCATACAAGCCTGCCGTTCTCCTTTTCACGGTATATCGAATAATAATAAAAACCAGCTTTGTACTTAATAGAAATTATTAAATTTTATTAGTGTTATTATGGGAAAAAACAAAAGCAGCGATCTGTCCACATGGAATACGATCCTCAAGTTTTATGACAAAGGTTGATATATAGGAAGATTGTAGATCAGTTAGGATGCTCTAAACGTTTTCACTATATAATAAGAACTTTAACACTACTGAAAATGTCACCAGGAAGATTAGACCTAGAAAAACAACCCCACAAGAAGACTCAAGAATAGTGTTATTGGCAAGAAAGGAACCGCTTAAAAGATCAGACCTGATTCACTCAGATATATTTGGTGAGGAAAGATTGAGAGGAGTGTCTGCAAGAACGATAAGAAGGTGATTGTGTGAAGCAAACTTATTCGCAAAAATATCTCGTAAGGTGCCACTATTAAAGAAGGAAAACATCTAGACATCTAAACGAGCTAGATCAGAGTTTGCCAAAAAACATGAACACTGGACAGAACGTGAGTGGAAAAATTTTCTTTTTTCTGATGAATTGCTTCTGATGGAAAAATGTATGTCCTCCTAAAAAAAAAAAGAAATGGATCCAAAGTACACGAAGAAAACAGTAAAACATGGAGGTGGAATCATTAAAGTTTGGGGCTGTTTTTCTGGTCCATCAAGAAAATAGAAAGGAACATGGATAGATTCCATTAATAGGATATTTTAGAGGAAGTCATGATACCCTTTGCTCAGGAAAGTTTGCCGGTGTTTTGGACTTTCCAACACGACAGTGAGCGGAAACACAACAAAAGTTGTCAAAGAATTCCTAAAGAGCTAGTAGTAGTAGTAACCGTTTTAGATTGGCCACCGTTCAGCCCTTATATCAACCCCATTGGAAACTGTGTCAAGAAAATAGTGGCATCAAAATGTACCACTAACATACACCAACTTTATGCAGTTTATAAAGAAGCATGGGAACAAATTCAATGCCAAGGCGATGTCGGTCTGTTATTGCTGCTAAAGGTCCAACATTTCACAATTATACATTAATTGTGAAATGTTGAATGATTTTAATATTGTTTCTAGCTCGTATTAAATTGCAACAAGCAAATAAATAGTAGATAAATTTTGTTTTAATATCCCATTAGTGTCTTTAATTATGTGACCACCACAAGCGATTGGTCTTTGACGGTTTTTCCGTTAACGAAACGTTAACGTTGATTTAAGTTTGTCAACTAGATAAATTCGTCAACGAGTTAACGTACTACTAATGTCAACTTAAACCGTTAATTCATTGAACTGTTTTAATTCAACGTTAAGACGTTCAATTTTAGAAACAATTTGATTCAATGTATGTATTGGAAAATGTTTGATTGATGGTTCTACTTAGATGACCTTCCCTTCATACTTTTTCTTTAGGCTTAGGACTGATTGAATACAATTAGCTATAAACCATATTCTACTCAGGCGTATGTAAAAGATCATCTGATTCTATGTGTGCAAATCAATTATTATTTACAATATGTTTTTTTATAGTTTTGTTTTTTAAATATTTTTTTGTTATTTTTATTTTTTTTGAAATGCAGCCACGATTCACTGTTACCCCAGTACGTCCCGGCATTTTCAATTTTGTACCTTAAGTAGTCCTATTTTATGCAAATATACACAACTATATTACCACAAACAAATTTACAAAGTTACTATAAAGATTAACTAAAAATTCTAAACTCTAAACATTTACGATAAGCCGCAAATTAACTTCTGACCTTCCGCGCAACTTGTCACAAACTGTCAATCAAAAAATTAAAGAAAGCGAACTTCCTATCGTTGTATAATCTACATCTACACTTATACTATTATAAAGAGGAAAGATTTGTTTGTTTGTTTGTTTGAATTGAATAGGCTCCGAAACTACTGGACCGATTTGAAAAATTATTTCACCATTAGAATCCTACATTATCCCTGATGAACATAGGCTATATAATATTTTCAAAAAGTTAGGGATCCGTATGAAAACTTCGTTAATGTAACCCAAGGTGTGAAAAAAATAACAAAAAGAATCCTTATATCGCGTACGCTGCGAAAACTATTGATAATAGAGCAAAGTAATGTACGTCAGTTTTATAGAGGATATCAATATCTACAAAAAAAGTCAGCGATACCATATGTTTAACTATTACAGTTATGTCACAATAACTACTTTTTCATGTTAAAATGTGAAATAGTAACACCGATACAAAATAGGCCACATTATTCGTATCAGTACCTTTATCATGCATAACCACCAATTACGTTACCCATGTAATTTTAGTAACATATTTCACTTTCTAAATCTTTGTTAATTCAGCAACCGTCCGTCGTGATGTCTCTCTCGAAGTTCGCATGGTTAGGCGCAGACGCTTGATATACGCGGGTGAAACCGCGGGGCACAGTTAGTGTATAAACAAACTAGTATTAAGGCGCAGGTTGAGCAAAATGTCGCGCTAGTCGTTATTTGTGCTATTTTTAGGAGCTATCTACTTTTTATTTAAAAGATATATCAACAAATAAAAAACACATTATATTTCTAAATAATCTTGATTCCATAAAAGCTATATCCAATTTTTTTTTAAAGGAATAAATATTAATATAATCTCCTTACAACGAAACCACATAAATGTGAAATTATTATTGATAACATGCATCTCCTCGTAAAGTAAGTATTATTTTATTTTGCGATTTACACCAATGGATAGGCAATTTATTAATGAACATTTCTATAGTAAATTTTTTTTCAAAAGACCAAAATTTGATTTTATTAAGAATTTATTTTAAAATCTGGGCATATTCACTGCTCACGGGCTTGCTGAAGTCAGTGAGCCCTGAGCTCTTCGACGCGAAGCCCGTGTCGTTAGAGCGTCGACCAGCACATACACTCACGTCATATTAGTCGATAATAATATAACTTATTAGGTTATTTATAGGTAGTATTATTTGTTTGTTTTGGGTATAATTTTTCGTATTAGTTATACATATATTTGTTGTATTTTTTACTGCGCGATGAAGCTTTTTGCGTGTATTTTCTTTGAAGTAAATGCAAATAAAAAAATGAAGCACCATTAGCATGTAAGGTTCGAATCCATAATTAAAATTTCGACAAATATTATAATTTACACTATAAAAGGCTAATTCAATATTATCACCCAACCACAATATCTTATTAGGTATAGTACCGCCTCGTTGGTCTAGTGGTTGTAGTAGTGCGAGTGCTGATCATGAGGTCTCGGTTTCGAATCCCGGGTCTTGTCAAAAAGTCAGTTATGAGTTTTTGGCCCGTTTTTGTTTTTATTTATTGCTTGTTTTTTTTTTTTCAAAAAAAAATAATTGAGTATATAAGATGTTCTATACGCCGAATGTCAGAGAGAAAAGCTAGTACATCTTTTGCTAAACTTTAAAATCTAAAACCAATTTTAAAACAGACGAATTGATCATAACTCCCTTAGCTATAAAATAAGTTATGATCTAATTAATGGTATTTATTCCAGTTTATGACAGCTCTGATTTATATTACGTGGCTGAAATTAGGTACATCTTATTAGGTACGTCAAACCAAATAACAGCCGGGCGGCTGACATTATGCACTCCATACATTTCTTATATTATCTAATTACAGTCCCATTAATTTCCACTAAAAGAAAATAAATAAGTTGTAAATTCAAACAAAAATAACTGCATTACTATGTGTATAGTCATATTCATACAAATCAAAAAGCCTATATATGAGATAATGTAAAGTAAGCATAATTTTACCGGGATCATAACTTGTCAAATAATTAGGAAAATGATCGTTTTTCGTTGCGTACAAAGATGTTTTATAGGTCAAAACATCTTTGGTTGCGTACCTGTTTTGATTTTAACACTGTTAGGTTTAAAACTGCGAGGTAATATTTGAATAAATATAGTTTTCTCTAGGTACAAAGAATTTTTTAGATGAAAATATTTGTAGTTAAGACTACTAGAAATCTTATTTATGGAGTAAAAAGGCGAAAAGACTGCAATTAGGGGCATGACTGGTATTAGGGGCTTCTACCCTAATTCGGTAAAAAGTATCTAAGTAGGTATTAATATACCTACTTTTTACTATAAACTAAAATTTTTTTTAACTAAATTTAACTAAAAAAAAACTAAAGTGACCATTTATTTTTTAACTCAAAACAGGACATGGGTTTATTTACACTCTAAAAACTATAACTTTACACAATTAGTGTTCAATATAAAATTATATTCGGTATAGACGGTAATTATTAAATGCAACATATTTTTTTTAAATTATTAATTACATTTGTCAGTGGATTAAATTTGCTTTAATAAAGTTGGTGATAATTTTAAATAAGAATAAAATTCTGCTTAAGTTTTTTTATTGTTACCTTTGTTAACAACATCGCCTTTAGAACTGGAACCGTAAGTGTTTCTTTCAGACGTCCACAATTTGTTCAAAATAAAAAAAATATTCTTTCTACTGGAGCATTTGTACCAGGGAGACATAAAATATATTCGATTAAAAAAAATTATGTTGAAGATTGTTGACTTTGAATACTTCCATCCAACGAGTTACGGGACAATTTTGTGTCCCGGAGCTTTGTTTGGGGACAATGGGACAGGTGACTGAGAAAAGGGACAGTCCCGTTCAAAACGGGACGTATGGTCACTATAGCTATAAACCGGCGACGGCTCCGTGGCGCACTGGCTTAGCAATCAGTTGCTGCACTGGGGGATGCGGGTTCAATCCCGCACGGAACAAGTATTTGTATGGCCTACAAATAATTGTTCCGGGTCTGGATGTTTGTCCTTGTGCAATTTATGTTTGTAAACTGCCTCCACGACTCTCATTCTATATTACTCTCACTCTGCGAAACATCCTATTTATTTATTTATTTATTCTTTATTGCACCAAATATTTGTACAAAAGGCGAGCTATCTATCTATTTACCTATAGTGAGTAGGTATCTTTTAAACTCACAATTTTCAATGCTTCATTTTTAATATATTATAATTAATTATAAAATTTCATAATTAGATAATATTATATGAGAATACATAACTCTAATATAATGCAACTAATATACCGAATAAAAAATTTGAGATACATTTATCGTTGTACGCTATGTGTATTTCCATAAAATAGTTTATTGATGTTGAAAAAATACTACGTTCTTACAGTAGGTGGCGCCTTACATATTTCTTACGTGATATTATATTGTAGCGAGTCGGCGCGGCACACCAAATGCTCAAGGTCGTTCGCATGGAGTAGCCCCTTAACCTATTTATCTCGAACGGCATGAGCGGGGCGCGCCATTCCACCAATATCATCATAAGTACTATTCTAAAAATAAATATTTCGAAAATAATCCCCTTTTTTAGGTTACTTAGAGTTCAAATTGTATGATATGACTATCTCTCGCAATCTATGACGTCATTTTCAACGTAAGTTTTTAATAGTTAACGAGACGCACGAGTTAAATTCATAAATGTCGTTGACGAATTCAACTAGTTGATTCATAAACGGTAAACGTTAACACGGTGACAGGAGACCAACGGTTGATTCAACGCTCATCGCTAACCACCACTGCATATATATATATGTGAATATATATAAATTAAACTTTTATAGGTGCCGATAAAGATCAGTACAAAGTTTATGGAAAAACTTTCCGAAAATTAATATGTGATTGCTTACAAAAAGATCCGACCAAGAGGCCAACCGCCACGGAGTTATTAAAGCATCCATTTTTCAAAAAAGCCAAAGACAAGAAGTATCTCACTCAGACTCTAGTCGCTATAGGCCCTAGTATGGAAACTAGGGTTCATAAGGTAAGAAAAATTCTTACATTTTTAAAAATATTTGGCATAGACTGAAAAGTTCTTCTAAATCTTCTGAAACAGTCTGCTGCTAGTCATTTCTCACTTTGTAGAAAGTTCCGAGATGCTTGGCAGGCGTGTTAGCGACATCAATACAAGTCTCACAGCTTTAGTCGCCCATACGATTTACATAGAACAATATAACATAGAATGTGATAGTTTTTCTCACTCCCTCACTACACATTGCAAGTATCATTCCATTTCCAAGTAAATTTTGTTAATTTTAGGCAAGTAAAAGGCAGACAGGCGCATCGGGTCGGTTGCATCGCACCATGACTGGTGAATGGGAATGGAGCGAAGAGGAAGACGAAGGAGCAAATGCCACAGGCTCCGATGAGGAGGCAGCGGATGATAAGAAACCGATGAATGAACTGCAGAGAGCGGACTCTAGTGGAAGTGACAATGAAGAGGTTATTATATTGGATTTTAATTTTGAGATATAACAGTTACTAGGTGATAAAAACGTAATAATGGAGTATTTTTAGTCCATCCATCTAATACAGCCTATGAAGTTCCACTGCTAAACATATGCCTCTTAATAAATTGCCTTATAGGGAGGGGGATTTTGCAATAGTCGACGTGCTTGGCAGTGGGTTTTTTTTACAATTTTGAGTTGTTATCGCGAAGTTCCTGATGCTCATCTCAAGTATCAATTTTCCTCTGTCGCCTCTTACGACACCCACGGAACGTTAAGGGGTAGTGGATATTCTTACACTGTCGCTACACAAGTATTTTTAGTTATCATAATAATCAAAATTAAATGTGTAAATTCTAAAACCCTCAACAATTATGTGTAAATAAATTATATATGTAAATACATTATTAATACTATATTCATTTGAATGCAAAAAGTTGGAGAGATAATGCAGAAAAGGGAAATTGTCATTAAAACAATGTAGAGAGTGAAGAGTGCATCATATGGTTTAGTTGATATCACAGAGATTGATTTCACATGACAGCTTTCAGAAGCTACTTAGCAATGGTCTTCGCTTGTGCAAGGTGTCTGCACTTTGTATAATCTGATTGCCAATGGACAAAAAATGAAGATGCATTTTGACATTTTCAAAACGAATCTCAAGCTTATTTTAATTATCTGGAGACAGGAGTCTCCTATCATAGACCAAACATGAATATAATTGAAAAAGCTAGTTGGGGTACTGTTACCAATGCGATTAACTATCTTATGAGAAGGAAGCGTTGACATGTTCAAACACCCACCCTTTTTCTTTAGATTTGGCACCTTGTGAGTTTGTTCTTTAAGTGTATCACAAGGGTAAGACACTTAATTATACAACAAGGTGATGGATAGATTCTGTCCAGTTCAAAATTACGATTTTATTTGTAAGAAATTTGCGTCTTATTAGACTACGCTGAAGAGAGTACAAAGAAACTTATAAAACCTATGTTCAATATCCGTTATCATTATTTTTGGATCACTTCTCGCTTATCTTCTCTGGTATAGATTTGATGAAGGCTGATAAATTAGCACCATAGGTGATGTAAAAATTTATCATTTCTGGAGTTATTTTTGCAGTGTTATAATAATGATTCACAGTTGTTTAAAAACATATATTGTATTGTAAAAATTCCATTTATTATACCAAAAATATTGTCTGTCTGTACAGCTCTGAAACATGTGTTTGACAATTGCCCTTTATTTTGTTCAATTGTTAGTCAGGGAATCAATATCACTTGCACATGATATCAGAGAGAATACATTTAAAATCAGCAGAAATTTTGTACGCGGTAGAGTCATGTTGCAGCTATATTAGTTGTATCACGAATAGATCGGCTCGACAGGGAAGGACGACGCTCTCACAGAATACTTTTTTTTTATATATAAAATAGGGGGCAAACGAGCATGCGGCTCATCTGATGGTAAGTGACTACCGCCGCCCATGAACAACCGCAACACCAGGGGAATTGCAGATGCGTTGCCGGCCTTTTAGAAAGGTGTAAGCTCTTTTCTTGAAGGTTCCTAAGTCGTATCGGTTCGGAAAATTCGCTGGTGGTAATTGATTCCACAAAGAAGTTGTGCGAGGGAGAAAACTTCTTCTAAATCGCACAGTGGTGGACCGCCAATCATCCAGATGGTATGGATGGTAACGCGAGTTTTGTCGCGATGTACGATATTGAAATTGAGCGGCTGGAATTAGTCCGAACAATTCCTCAGAGCACTCCCCGTGATAGATGCGATAAAATACGCAGAGATGCAACATCTCTACGCAGTGCCAGTGTATCGAGCCGATCGGAAAGAACTCGGTCGTCGACGATTCGAACCGCTCTGCGCTGGATGCGGTCAAGTGGAAGGAGCTGGCACTGGGGTGCCCCGGCCCAGAGATGAGAACAGTATTCCATGTGGGGCCGAACTTGCGCTTTGTAAAGTTGCAAGCGATGTGCCGGCATGAAATACTGTCTCGCTCTGCCGAGCACGCCAAGCTTTTTAGAGGCCAATTTGGCCTTCCCTTCCAAGTGACCACGAAACTGCACGCTATTCGATATGTCGACGCCAAGGATTCCGATACTGGCTGAGGCAGCAAGGGGAGTGCCTTGAAACTGAGGAGATACGACAAAGGGGTTCTTTTTAGCGGTAAACGCGCAAACTTGTGTCTTCTGGGGATTGAACTGGACTAGATTTAGTCGGCCCCAATCCGAGACTTTGTTACTAGCATAAAATAGCAGTTCAATGTAGCTGTGTTTCGTATGGTGAGTAGAGAACCGGAGACCCGTTTTACTAGAATCGAGGCAATCCATCTTAGTCCTTAGGACTGACAATGCATCTGCATTTTGATTCTTAATCGAGAATAAATGTAGATGTCTATGATCCACAGCATCCACTTACTATCAGGTGGACTGTGTGCTTGTTTGTCACTCTAATTCTATATAATAAAAAAAAGAAATATTAATGCGGATTTTGAATACTTTATTCAAGGAGATATATTCTGCTACCCGCTATTTATAATCTGCAAATGTGGTTGACCTATGTTAATATCATTTTGTTTCAGGAATCTCCGGAACCTAAAGCTAATAAAGTGCAAAATGCTCGGCCAACAGAAACAGTTGTCATTAATTTGGTTCTGAGGCTACGGTTAGTAGAAAAACAGTATTTTTAATGCTTTTAGTAATGGTTTTATTCTTTGGCACCTCTTTATTATATTTTATTGTAGAATTTGAACAACACTAGACATTAATTGCAGAAACGCTCGTCGTGAATTGAATGATATTCGTTTTGAATTTATCACGGGAAAGGATACAGCCGAGGGGATCGCTTCGGAATTAGTCGGGGCGGGACTTGTGGACCCCCAGGACTCAGTTCCCATATCCGTGAATCTTGCCAAATTACTAGAAGCCCAACGATCTTCCTTACAACCGTCATCAAAGACTGTCACATTCCATTTGGTATGTTTTATCCTATATATTATAATGATTTTTTGCTAATGGTATAATAAATTCAATACACCTAATTTTAACTAACCACAATCGACAACCTCTAGTTAAGAAATAAAATAAAATAGGTACAAATAGTAAAACGATTTTATTTTATTTATCCGTCAGTTGGTTAGATTAGACAGCCTCAAAAAATGCAACAAAATCGTGGTGGAATCATCACACACAATTATTACAGGTGTACAAAAACAAGTACACAACAAAAATGTGAAAGTGTTAATGTCAGTTAACATTGACATTTAAGAATAACTGACATAGGGAGGGTGATATGATTGATTCAGTATGATCATTCATGTAAAGTCAGTCAAGCAGTATGATCATTCATGTAAAGCATGTCATGCGTGTCTAGGGCCTGCTAATAGAGGCTAACTTCGGGCACTGTTTATTCTTTATTTCTTTATTGAAGTGACTTCGTTGGTTCACTACACCACAGCCTCGTGGGAGGTGATTGTTTTTTATAGAATAAGGTATTAAAACGAGTACACAGTCCACCTGATGGTAAATGGTTGCTGTGGCCCATGCTATTTTATTTTGATATTCTGTGAAAATGTGCTGCCCCGGTTGAGCTGACTCATTCCTGCTACAATACAGTACTCTTAGGATAATATAACAAAAATGAACAAATATCAGGGGAAAAACAAAAGTAGTTCTTATTGCTACACAGCAATCTCTTCCAGACAATCCAGAAAAATAATTGGATAAAAAGAAGAGAAAGATTAACCAGTAGGATAACTTTCACAATATAGCTGCAGCATGGCTATACCATGTAAAAAAATCGAATTGAATAGGGGCCCACCACCACAGTATGATTATGCTTGCTCTATTGCTTACCAATTATACTACTGTATTATCAAAAGCTTTTGCTAGTCCTATTGATTTAGTTTTTCAGGTGGTTAATCCAGATATGTAGTTAGTACCTAGGTTACACCTACATATTTTACACCAGAAGAAATCTGACGTATATTTATTATATGCTTTTAAGATATAGCTGTAGGTTTGTATTAATATATTTAAAGCCTTACTTATAGTTGAGTTGGGTGTTCAATAGTTACAGTGTGTGGTGGCCATTATGATGGAATGCTTTTTTAGCATTCATGTGCACCATTACCCAACATAACGGGAAACTTATGTTTAAATTACTTGAAAATTAGGCGTGCAGTGGAGGCGTAAATGAATCTAATGCTCCATATCATACAGTGAATGTAGTAAGAAGCTACAGAGGGAAATTAAACAGGAGGGAGCAGCATTTTTTCCTGAAAACATATGAAAATAATATTATACCGTATTATGCCGTTGTCAACCTCGAGGACAAAGATAAAAATAAATGGCGGATAAAGTATGGACTTAGAAATGACTGCTTATCGAGTCTGTACTGAAAGCAACACTAAAAACGTTATATTACTAATAACGAAATTATATTAATTAAAGTAATATTTTAGTTCACTTGAACGTTTTTATTTAATGGAAAAATGTGATTAGTATATTAAATCAATTGATTGAATTTTGTAATACGAGGGCGGCACTGAAAATTTCGGGAATCAAGGAAGTGACACAACATCACTATTTAAAAATGTATTTATTGCTTTGTAAGTATTCTCCGCGAAATTTGATACATTTTTCCATACGATGGAACCAATCATTGAAGCAACCATTCCATTCGGAAGTTGGGGTCTCCAAAATGGTCGTTTTGTAGGCGTCCACAGCTTCTTCAGGTGATGAAAATCTCTGTCCACGCAATTTATTCTTTATTTTAGGGAAAGTATAGAAATCACTAGGGCTTAGGTCGGGGCTGTACGGCGGATGGTCTAATAATTCTATGTTTTCTTGCTCTAAAAACTCTTTTGTTCTGTGTGCGGTGTGAGAACTCGCATTGTCGTAATGGAGGATGATGCGGCGGTTGCAGTTCTCTTTACGGAGTTCAGAAACGACCTGTGACAAACAAATGCTAGCATACCATTCTGCATTAACCGTTCTTTGTCCCTCAAGAGGAATAGTCGTAACATGGCCGGTTTTGGAGACAAACGTGGCCACCATTTTTTTTGCAACACTCCGTGAACGAACAACTTTTGTTGGCTTTAACTCATTTTCGAACACCCAAACTCGTGACTGGTTTTTTGTTTCGGGTTCGTACGCATATATCCAGGATTCGTCACCTGATACGATGTTGTATACAGCATTTGAGGATCCTGCGTGGAATCTTTCGAGAGTTCTGACGCACCAAGTAACGCGAGCCGCTTTTTGCTCTTCACAGAGCGAATGCGGTATCCATCGGGAAACAACTTTTTTATACCTAATTGTTCATGCAAAATTATTTGTATTTGACTCATGCCAATGTCTAAAGTTGCCTGAATTTCGCGGTATGTCACATGTCGATCTTCCTCAATCAGCTTACGCACAGCATCAACGTTTTCTTGGGTGACTGCAGTTTTTGGACGACCTTGACGGGATCATCACTGAGCTTGACACGTCCACGTTGAAATTCAGCAAACCAGCGATAAATTATGGTTTTGGATGGGGCTTCATCACCAAATGCAGAAATCATCCGGTCAACACACTGTTTTTGTGTTAAACCACTTCGAAAGTCATAATAAATCAGCGCTCTTGAATTTTCTCGAGTCAATTCCATTTTCTCAACGACTAAACAAGTTTGATAAAACCTTGTGGCAAGACCGAGAATCTTTTTTTAAATAAATAAACGGTATTCGATTTTTAAAACCAAGGAGTTTTCAATTAAAAAGATTTTAATATGACAGGAACAGTGGAAATATTCTATTCCTGATACTTTTAGTGCAGCCCTCGTAAAATTTAATTATATTAATAAATATAATAAGAAGGCGGGAGGTAAATCAATTTACAAATAATTAGGTAATGTAATCATTAAGACTGCTAAATAAACTAATTTAATACTTAAAATAAAAGTATTTTGAATGGTTACGTTCTGTTACTTGGGCCAGAAGTTAGAAGGAATAAAAGGCAATAAACGTTTATTGTAAAAAATTAATAATTTTATTTTTTTGTGATCGTTACCGGCGGCTGTAAGTATAAAGGGAACAGTGTGCAAGCGAGAGGTGAATAGAGGCGACGCCATTTATAATCCCATTCTTTATCTATGTGAGAAATATGGCGAAATATCCCTCCTATCAGACAATCTATTGGGGAGGCCTTGTACAGCAGTGATACTTTGATAGACTGGAATGTTGAGTGCTTGCTAGTGTACCATAATATTTTAAGTGATTTATCACTGACCATCTGATGGCTTGTGTCCTTATTTAAATTCATATATATATATATATAATATATTAGTTTGTTTCTTAATATTTGAACTTACTGTTTTTCAGAACTCCGCGGGACCGAACGAGCAGTATGATGATAAAACTCTGGTTGGTTTCGCGCAAATATCGATCATAGACTAAAGATCTGATTCTCACATTGCCATTAAAACACAGGACAAGCGCCCGAATAACAAGACGTAAAGAAAAGGAAATGTCTCGGACATAACTAATGTTTTGGTCTGCCATGTTTAATTTAATTTTGCATTCTACTCATTGTCCGTCCCATTACTGCTACATTCTAATTATTCCTCATAGGCCGCGTGTACGACGGACACTTTTGTATCGATACAATTTCATGTATTGATTAGTACTTTATAATTCGTTTCACAGTGAACTAACTGTGTAGAAAATTATTTATAGAACCAAAGGTTCATCATGACTTAAAACTACTTAAGTTTTTATAAGTTTCAGAACAAATAAATTGTGATAGAAATTGTATATTCTTACATCTTAAAAAAACAGAGGGATACGGAGAATGAAAAGTTTTTTTGAATATGAGAACCGTCTTATCTGTACTTAGGACAAAAAGTAGCTGTCATATACATTGGAGTCCGATTACATAATATAGTATTCACATGCATGTATTTATTACTGCTGTAACATTATATTTTTGCGTATGTCGTGTGTAGATATTAAAAGTATCCGTGTATATGCGGCTTCACAGTTCGGGCTGTAAGCATTTGAAAGTGAAAACATTTTTATTTTCCAATATATCGAATTTACATGTTTTGTTGTAGGATAGTGTTTCTAATTGTGTTCGTGTACCGGGACAATTTACTGTGGTATTTTATGCGATTGTTTCCCAAACAATGGTTTTTACTTTATAAAATTGCCCCATATTGTGCTAATGAAACTGTACTTGCTTTGGAAATTATGGTGCTAGTTAGCTTGTGCAGGCGCAGTATTATTGCGGCCTTTATTGAACATTGCATACTGCAGCTGGGTATTACTAAGATAAGTGTAAAATGTTACGCTACTTACGATATGAGTTGTGTGAAATTTTATTGTCTGGTTGATTTATGTGTTGCCATTTGTCTGCTTGCATATCGACAATTATTATGGGTATGTTCCGATATACACTGCGAGCACTGCTCAGCGGCTCCACTTTTGAAAAATTCGTTCCGTTATGGACTGCCAGTATACTGCCGCAGTACCCTAGTGAAATATATGACGTCATAAATCGCCGCCATTTTTGTACTGTGAGCACTGGCGCTTTCGAGGTAAGGTGCTTCAGTACTTTCATCACGTGATCAAAAAACATAACAGCGCCTAGAGATTTAACAGCTTCCACGAATGATTGTTATTAATTAATATTGTTATTCAAATAAACTCGGACATTAAGTTTTAAAAGCAACAACATTCAAATAATAATTTTTTCTTGTTGAACAGAAAACGTGTACATGATAAATATTTTCATTTGAAAACAGTGTCGAAAAATGGGGATGGCAGTATACTGGACTGTGTTCCTTTTTAGATAGTCACAAGTATAGCAAACTAAAAAGAATTGAAGTCACACCTTACAGCGGTCACAGTGTTTATCGGAACATAGCCTTTATAAATATACTGCTACATCACTTTATCGATAAAACTGATACCACTGTTATAAATGTCACTAGTGTTGCTACATTATATAAAGTCCGATAGTCCTATATGTTGAATTAAATAATCAGTAAATTTTGACTGTTCTAATATTACTACTAATTTTATATCTTGTCATTTAAAATTCTTAAATGTCATTATAATTAATTTATGAAAAAACGGTTATGAAATATTTTTAAAAGTAATATATAAGGTATAATGTTGTTGCCATTTTAGATAATTGCACTTGATTGGGGTACAAATAAATCCATGTAATATTTTACTTTAATAACATTAAAATAATGTAAGGTTTTTTTTTGCCGAGGTTAGCTCACTTTGTTTCAGGGTTTTTTCGATTTCAAGTTTTGCATTTTGAATTTCGCATAGTCCGCCTTCTAATAGACAAAAAAAAAACAAATTAGTTGACATTTTATTGAAGTATGTAATTGTATACTGCTGACAGATTGCAATTAATTGCTGATAAGAATTGTTTCCTCTTTCGTATGTAAGGACCGAATTAGATATCATTAATCTATTAAAGATGTTAACATTTCATTTCCATGAAACACTTGTCACATTTGTGAAAAGGTCAGTCATTGTAAAAGTGGTGAAATTATAGTGTGTGGTATGTGTTGTGGTGGTGGTGAATTTACATATCGAAAGCAGACGTGGCTAAATATGTAATAATAGATAATCCATAGACAGCCTTTGTATTATTTTATATTAACATATCTAAGTATCAAATTGCGGATGTGCTTTAATGATTTTTTATGTCACTGAATAATGCACTAATTGTCAAAGATAAAGGTGCTATTCACTATCGTGCAGTTATTTATTTTTGTGTCCGTTCATATCCGTCATCGGCCGCAATTCCCTGCACCGAGCCAAAGATCTTTAGTTAATAATATTGCGTAAGTAGTACCTAATATTTGTATATAGTATATCTTTTTATTGCTTGTGTAACTTGTTGATTGTTAAATTTATGAATTTTGTAGAGCTTAGATTCATTGCTTTTGAGATCTTACTAATTGTATGATGAACGTCATTAACTTCTAATTACTTAAATCTTGGACTAGTCCAGAGATAGATCTAATTCATTAGAATTCATTTTAATGCTTTAAAATTCGATGATATGATTCTATGTGTTACATTATTGTAATTTAAAACTTCCCTACATTCGTGCCTTAGCATTATTTTCTTTTTAATTTTTAATTTTGATCGCTCAAAAACAATTTGAAAATAATTATAAAAAATATGAAATAAGTAAGGATTTTTTTATTGAAATAATTTCTATAGATTTTAAAAATGTATTAAATTCATAGTAATAATAGTATGTTTATAAGGTATGAAACAAGTTTAGCATAAATCAATGCACGCTTGAATTTCCTTTCTTCATTTTTTAATATATATATATGATCAATGTAATTGTTGATCATCAAAAATTTTGGAACATTAAGTGAAAGTGCTTAGGTTAGTTATCATTCAAACTATTTTCAGCGGTATCGAACTTGAGTGAAATAGCTACGCAATCCAGATAAGTTTTTAAAATAATTGATAAAATGAGTGATGTAAAAAATTGTATTTTGATTACTACAGAAATACTCTAGGTAAGGGTTTTATTTCTGTATCAGCTCGAGCTAGAGACAAATAATAAATAAGCAAGCTAACCGATATGGGTTATTAAGATTGTTTATTTTTTATTTTGTTTTCTTCCTAAGTATTGAAAATATAATTGAAGTTATTTCATTGGCCAATACTGCTTTGAATTCAAGTAGAAAATATTTAGGTTTTATGAGCGATCCTTAACAATTAGTCTGTATTTTATGGTAATAAAAATGTTAATGTATATACACACCAAGGATATTTCTGATGATTAATTGTGAGTTTTTAATATTTAACATCCAAAGCGAACCATCATTTGATTACCTGACAATAATTGAAAGTAGGTAGTTAACTTTATATTATACAACGTGACTGAAATAATTAATATCAGTGATGGTTTTGTGATTTTGTAATATTAATTTAGAAGAAAAGCAATGAAGGCTTGGAAATTATATAACTAATTTTACAGAAAGCTTACTCTCGAAAATATTTCAAATGTGATTCGGTTTTGATTCAATATGACGTTTTGTGACACTGATTTTATAAGATTACTCCCTAACCAATTCGAATCTAACAGACGATCGAGTTACGATCAAGCGCTACGAGCTCCGCTAGCCACATCCGGATATTTCGTTTTCCGGAGATTAATCTTTGCTTCTTTGCTAATGCTAATATTTAATATTTATGTGCTTTTTAAATATTTTATTACATGAATAGGACAAACTGGTCTAGGAAAAACGTTCCCGTTGCAAGCGATCACGAACGCATTTAATTGTGATAATTTCAATTTGAACTACCATTTCATTATGTGTTCTACGGGTTCTACGGTTTCGAGACTTCGAAATTTATAACTTATTCTATTATATATATTTTAACTCGATTCTATCGGGAGTAGGCCGGCTGCTCTTTGCGGCTAGAAAACCGAGGTGTGTGTATACCTTTTGTAATCTAAGCTTTTAAATAGGATCCTATATTACAAAAGGCTGGCCTAACAATTTGTATGTACGTATTATATTAAGAAATAATACGAAATCAGGGTTTCTTTTTTACATTCGCCATTGGAGCTGTGTTCTCCAACATATATATAAAACTTGCTATAATATAATTTAACTTTCCTCATAGGTATATATACTAAAATACATATATTTTTATAGATATGTAGAATAGAAACTTAGTATTACTAGCGGTCATTAGGGTCGTCGTTACCGTACATATTCTACTTGATTAACAAAACTGAACCTTTTAGCAATGAGTGTAGCACACGTATTTATTTATCAGTATCAAATGATAGATTTCAGTGAAATAGATGCAGTAGACATACAATACTGTGAGATGTAAGCGTAACATATACGTAAGGACATTTCCATCTATGTTAGAAAATAATATATAATTATTCTTAGTATGATATAAATTCTATTAATTGCAATAATTATTAAAATAGCCCACAAAATAACATATCCATGAATTTTAATGTTGTGTTTTGCCATATCAGTAATACTAGACTGATTTATGTATTGAATATTAATGTCTCTAAACCACTATGCTTGCGAATTCGCATTAAGATTCTAATTCGCTTAGCAAGTGTTTGAGGTTTGAGGAGTGATGTCGCAATTTTGTTATCAGAATGTTCCTATGTAAAGGCACCGTTTTTTCCTGCACCGATCCACGCATTATGCCTAATAATATTTTCACATTCTTAAGCACTTTGTTAGTTAATATGCACCTAATACTTTCACTGCATATATTTAAAGTTTTTAGCGCTGTATAAAAAAAAATAACATACAAATATTTAATAGCTTTAAAAGCGCGAGTAAAGAGAGTTTGGCTTTATGCAGATTAAAGAAAACTTATTATGAAGGGAAATTATATTGTTTTAATTTAAATGAAACTTCTTTTGAATG